TAAGGCAACAATAATGTCCTGACGTTAACTGATAAGGTCACTGAGCCAAAAGAGCACTCCTTTCAAACAGTTTGTATTTTAATTACAGTTTGCAAATTAACAACCTTCTTTTATAAAGCATAGTTTTAGAATTCTGAGCATCAGTTTTTACTGAAAGCCCTCTTTGTGTCTGGAGGTCTGCATTTTACCACGGGAGCTTTTAATTAAAACTGTATTGCTGATAATTTGTAAGGTTCTTCAGTACAGATGTTGACAGCTGCTTCCACAAGAATAGTGTGTAGTTATACCCCATAACAGCACGTTATCAAACTTCAAAGCCAAGAAAGTTTTTCTGTATTATACCTTTAAATAAAGAGTAACACAAAATTCTCAGATTCTAAGTGTGCATCCTGGTAGGTTTTCTATCTGGCTTTTCTGCAGTGTGACAACCACTGAATAGTGATTTCATTGGCCACCACAATGAAGTGTAGCTGCAGGTCCTAAGTTGTATATAATAGTCATAACTTGTTAAGGAAACTGCTAGGTGTCAGGAATAAGGTGTATATATACATATGTCAAACAGAATTATGTATAAAAGGACATTATGAATCTTCATGCTGACATTTTTGAGAGAGGGCAACAGTGGAAACTGAGGAAACCAAAGAATTTTAACATTGTGTTAAGAGATGCTTCTCAGACCTAGTGCAAACCAAGTAACTGCAGCACATATGGGAAGGGAGCTGTGGTTCATTCTTAAAGAGGTTAATTGTTGCTGTAAATGCCAATCTTTACTACTTCTGTTTCTTTAAAATACTAGAAAAGACATTGAAGTGTGGGGGTTAAACCCCCAGCCCTGAATGAGAATTGGCATATGGATGATATCCACAGCCAGGCAAGAAAGACCCTCCTGACTGGTTTTCACCCAGGGTCTGGCCAGCCTTGGGTGGGAACTGATCAGGAGATCACCACCAGCTGCCCCCACCTTCCACAGTAACTTGGAGGTGGGACAAGAAGCCACCTCTGTAAGAACTGACTCTGCTTGCAGTGGAGTTGGGAGCTCTGCCTGCACAGTGGATGTGCTGTGTGGGGATTCTGGCTATTGGAAGAGCTCCCTGACTCTTCATGGCAAGTGGAGTTCCCAGGACAGCAGTGCCAGAAGATGAAGCTGTCTCTGAGTCCCCGCTATATATATGACGGGCTCATGGCCTGGCTGCTCCCATTGCCCATGGCTTGGCCCCTTGCCCAGCTCACTCCTTCCTTCACATCCTTTGCAGTGGGTGAGTGCATTGACTTGTTCTTCCCCCTGGTTGTCCAGCGCTTTGGGTCTCTAGCGTGTGATGTGGGAGCAGAGGGAGGAGCTTGGCTGCTGGTCTGCTCGTTAATAATAATATAATTCTGTGCTGGGCAAGTGGTCAGCAGATGAGACATTTTCTGCCTTCTCCAGTACAATGTTTTTGGACGCTCTGATTTTCTCCACTACTGAAAATCTGGCATGACTGCTTTCTAGAAGTCTAACCTCCCTTGAAACCTAATGTCTATTTAAAATGCTTGTATTCAAGCTCAGCCAGACAACATATCTGTAATTTATGCTAATTCTCATGCTTTCACAGCAGAGGTTTTGTGCAGAATTTTTCACCATGGGATGATTTTACCAATGAGCACCTTAGGAGGGCAGAAAAATGTCTGAGTCCTGAGCAATGGACTGACATGCTTGCTCCCTCTACCACTGTATAGGGGTAGGGGAAACAGGAGGAAGACATAAGAATGACTTTCAAAGAATTAAAGTGAAACCAGGTATATTTTTTTTTTCCCTTTGAGTCCATCTATCAGGATTATCCTTATGATCAGCATCCACTTGCCCACTAATGCTTCTTCCTCCTGTCCACCCTGTCACAGTCTGCAGGTACTCTGCCTTTGCTCCCTGTTCCATCTGCATTTGCAAATGGAAAAGGGCATTAGAAGTTTATCTTTGCAATGTATGATAGCTCATAAAGCTAGTGGTTTTAAAAAAAAAGAAAATGCTGTTGGGAGACTGGTTCAGATGAAAGTGATTTGCATAAACCTTTCCTCAATGGATTAAAAAATACATTAGGAAATTAAAATTATTCTTTTACCAATGGCTGCACTGTCACTGGAACTGTGGTGCTTAAAGCGAGTTGTAGACATGTAGCTTTTGAAATCTTTGCCTCTTTTAAACTTGTTGAAATAGCATTAAGCGTGGCAAGTGTCCTTTACATTATCTCTTGCTCACATTGTAAGGAAAATAAACCCCTGGACCATGGTACTGTGTCTGTGGGTCCTTAAAGATAATTAAATTAAAACTTCCTACATTGCTTGGGTATATGGGTAACTTCTTTTTTTTTTTTTTTTTTTAAACTTGCAAATATCATCATTCTAGTACTGCTAGAGAAACTTAACTTGTATCTTGGAAAACTACTCAGATTCCAAGAGCATTATTTTGCAGTAGATTCGCTTCCTGTCTACCAAGCATTTAATCTCTTCTGGACCAGTGAGCTACCATCAGAGGGATGTGTGGGATGGGCTGTAAATTCAGGGCAGTCAAGGTGCAGCATTCAGTTAGTGACTGAAGGGTCTGAGTGATGATGGACGGAACACTCCTCAGTGATGTGTAGTCCTTGCAGTTAGCACAGACCGGCCCGTTCAGTCCCTAGCCAGTAAGGGTGTCAAGTCAGTAGTACAGAAGAGTTCAGCCTAGCTACAGGAACTAACCTGCTTGGTGTTTAGGCCCATCTCCCAAGAAGTATGTGAATTCCAGCATTTTTTACACACTGATTCAGCTGCCAAATTTGTGGGTGTGTTACATGAGAACACAGAGAACAGACAGGACCCTGCTCTGACAAAGTGCTTCGGCTTGTGCATTCTTCACCTGCAGCAAGACTAGTTGCCTGTAGTGTATTCTGGGCAACCTGAAGCACTCCTCGGGGACCGGGACCAGGTCTTCCAGAGAAGCTTGTGAGAACAGAATTGTGAGTAAGGTTCACAGTATGAGTTTGTACTTTTTTTTCCTCTGATGGAACAGCTGCTGCTGCCACATTCTTTCTCTTGGTGTCTGTTAAAGCATGACCTGCTAAAAAAAAATTGGGCTGTTTTTTGTGCAGGTCACAAAGTAAACAGCTTACCCAGGTAATAACTTGATTGATAGGTTTTATAAATAATTGTGGTGCTCATCCTGGAGTAATCACTTCATCAATTACAAATTAAGAGCTATGGTAAGTATGTAGTTTGTGGAAACAATTTTTTTTCTCTCCTGTTACCCGAAACACGTACCTGCCTTTTACCAGCCATTGGACAGTGCTTAAACTAGCTCAGCTTAGTTCTGTTCCACTAGGAGAATGGACAACTAAATGAACAGTGATCCAGCATAAGCTTAGTTTGCATCCTGACTTGGAACCCAGGGACCTTTGCAGATGATTCTCCCACTGGGGTTGCAGGAACTTTTATATAGAGTGTGACAGCAAGGTAAGAGCTGTCAAGAAGGACAGTTTGCAATGATGGGGCACACATAATTTTCCTCTACCACAACCTAGTTTTGAAAGGGCAATGATTAACTGGGAAAGGAAGTTAGTACTGAAGATCTGAAAGAACTCCCACTTAACATGATATATGTAACAAGAAAAGTTGGGAGTTTTAAGTGTGATAGATTTGCAAAATATGTAACAGAGCTGAGGTAAAAGCTACTACAACGAAGCAGTGCATTTTCATCATATTTTCATTCTCCAAGACAAAATCCCTCAATTCTTACTTGCTATGCTCTTACTTCTGGGAGCAAAATGTAGCCACCCATCTGGTGCTCCACCAAACTCAATACCCCTATTGAATTTCCTCTGCTAGACAGGAAAAATAAAACACCAATTCCCATATTGAGATAAGCATTTTATTTTATTCAAGGTACCATCTTTAATTAGTCAAACCATGAAGCACAGTTTCAGCTTCTGAACAAGCTTAATTAAAACTCACTTTAAAGCTTTTTGTGTTTCAATATGAATGGTGTTTAATAATTTGTAAATGAAGACCTATCACTAAAATAGCATCAGGATTATTCAGCTACCCTACTAAGACACAGAAGGCTACAACTACCTCTCCAAGCAAAATTGGTGTGCCTGATCCCAGCCTCTGGAAATACTTAGTGTATTCTGAGGTAGCAGTATAGATATAGAACAGAGCTTAAAAAAACTACCTGCACCAACAGCTTCAGCCAACTAGTGTATGTATTTATTAGCCAGAGGGTGGCTGCTCACTGTGGCCTTGTGGTTAAAATTGCCAAAACAATGCTAGACTAGGTATCAGCAAAAAGTTCTTCAGCACAAGGGTGGCAAGACCCTGGAACAAATTGCCCGAAGAGGCTGTAGATGCTCCCTCACTGGATGTGTTCAAGGCTAGGTTGGATGAGTCCTAGTCGAGTTTAGAGGTGTCCCTGGCCATGGAAGGGAGGTTGAATTAGATGATCTCTATCGTCCCTTCAAACCTAAGCCATGCTGTGGTGCTAGGATGAAGCTAAGATGAAGCTAAGATGCTAGTCACCTGCACAGGATTTGAGATGGCTGTGTACATGCTTCCACCATGGATGGCAGCTGGTACCCAGCAAGTACCAATACAGGGAATTAAATTGCCTTATACCAGAAGACCAAAAAGTAAAAACAAGTAAAAAAAAGTAAAAACTCTCAGCCCATTAAGCCAAGGCACAGAGCCATTCTTCACTGTTTGTCTTGTATGTGGAGTAAGAACAGCAAATCCACCCTAAGTCGTGATAGACTAGAGAGGTGCCTCAGGATGGTCCCACATCGCAAGCAGCTCAGTCACAGCTGAGAGCTCCATCAAGGCCTCACTGCAGTCTGCTCTGCAGAATGAGCTTCCCCTTAAGAGTCTGAGCCTAAGGCTATCAAAAAGAAAATAGAAATGGATTACTGACATACTCGTCCACCTTCTCTCGTCAGAGATCATTTTCCTGTGCAGCCTGCCTGTTTGACAGAGTGCTCCACTGAGGAATAATGAGAAACCAGCTAAAGTGCAGTTTCCCTGACAATGCCAATATGACTGTGAGGCCGTTCACATTCTCTCTGGATCCTCCTCTCAGCTAGCCAATCTTCATCTGTGGTGGAAATACTCAGGTCACCACAGGTCTCCAGGTGCAGCAATCCAGAATACTGTCTGAAAGGTAACACACGGGCTTGCTGGGCAGGTGCCATCACCTTTGAAAGAAAAAAAAAAAAGGACAAATCAGATTTGGTTTTGGGCTCTTGTTCCATGAAGACAGTTTCTTAGCCAGCTAGAGGAAGTTAGTTCTAGTGTTATTTCTAAAGAATAATAAAAAAAGGTGAGACTAAAACAGCTATTTGTCAAAGAGTCATGGGAAAAGCAATCCCAATTAAGAAAAAGAGTGGTTTGTTGGGGTTTTTTTCTTCCCAAAAATCTGCACAAGAACTAGCTCACTCCAAATCAGTCAGGTATTGCTTAGTAGGAATCTAAATATGTGCTTCTGTAAAGCCGCTGTACTTCAGTAACATTCACACCAGTGTGATAAATTAAATTCTCATAAGAATTTTTTTCGCTGTTCCTGTCCTATTTGTTGAGGCTTTTGTTATCTGGAGGCTGCAGTGGGAAATCTCACTTTATTTGCAGAGCTTTAATGTGTTTTGCGTGGTAATTCAAACGAAACCATTTGTCACAGCATATCACTTGTACCATGTGTCAATTGTGTCAATCAATTCATCTGGTCTGTAAGCTAGCAAAACCTTTGTTTTATGAAGTCTGTGATGTCTGAAACTTCTCAATACTCATTCCATTGTAAGCACATATTTTCTACTTCATGCTTCTCTCCTTTAGTCCTAGGTCTTATTTTTATTCTTGAGCCAATCACAAAAAGTTGCTGCTAGTGGGTTTACATGAAAATTCCCTTGTCAGCCTCCATTCCTTACAGCTTACCATAGTAAATGCTTTAGAATATCTCTTCCCTCCTGCTGCCACACTCATTATGAAAGTCATGTTACTTGCATTTCATCATTCTACCACAGAAGACCATCTCCTTCAGCTTTTAAATACACATATTTAGTCTTCTGAAAACCTTCCTAGCTGTGTGCTTGATAAAGCAAGAGACATCATAGGTGCACAGCCTCCTGCACACTCCCCGAATAAAACTAAAACACGGATGGAAGCTAATGGCATTCAGAAAACTTTGCCATACAAAGCACAGTGGCAGACCTAAACCTATACTCCCAAACCAAAGCCAGCAGGTTTCCATGTCACCTGATAAATGCAAGTAATAAAACTACCTGCTCAAGGAAGGTGGCACTGCTGATGGCTTCTGCCATACGTTTCTCATCTGATTTTAAAACAGACTTGATACTTCCCACCACTTCATGTATGTCAGGGTTCATGCTGCAGGAAGACTGCTCTAGAATCCATGCCACAAGCTGTTTGGTGTCTTTGTAAGACCTGTAGTCTACCAAAGACTGGGCTCTTTCTCTCAAATCTCTTCTCGTCAAACTCTTCCGCAAGGTCACACCACAGAGGGATGCTTTTACTTCAGTCTGTATCGCAGGTTCAGAGCTGAGCACCACCCCTGAAAGACCAAACAAAGCAAACAATCCACTTGATTCACAGTATGGTTGGTTCTTCAGCAAGTAACCCCCGAGATTTCATTCTTAATGCAGTGATGATGCAGTGCACAGTTTAACAACATAAAACTTAACAGTCTGACATGCAAGGCTCATTCTATACTGGATTTACACAACAGAAAATGCCTGTAAACTAGTCATACACAGCTATAGTTGAGAGCATATCAGATATCAAAGAGTCTGATGGGGTATTTCTGAGAAAGCTATTTCCCATTTTGTGTGTGCATTGGTTCCTCTCACTTTTGTTTCTGTTCTGAACAGATCTGAAATGAGTGCTCAGTGTTAATGTTATCATACAGTCGTATGAAACAAGTTAAGCAAAGCTTAGAAGCTTTTTTAACAGCTTCTAAACTTTTTGTAACTTGTGGTTATTACCAGTTGCAAAATACCTCAAAATAATTGCTTGTCAAGCTGGAGCCTAGTAATACTACAAAATGGGAATTTAATGAGGAAAAAAACCCAAACCAAAACAAATGACCATTCAAAATTACCTTGCAAGGACTGAACTAGGGACAAGAGGCACTCAGTTCCACTGCCTTTGGAACACTGCCTAAATGACAATTGCCAATTTTGAACACTGCCTAAATAACAATTGCCAATTTTTAGCGCTGTTAAAAAAAAATAAAGAGCACCTAGAGGCTATTGAAGAAGCACTTCAGTGTCTGGGTTTACACCAAACATGCCACCACCAGCAGGAGATGGAAAACGTTCCAGCAGGAAAAGCCCTGACCAACTTGAAGCAACTTCCATTGTTCTGTTGCAGCTGAGTTCCCTTCCTACAGCACTCATGTTTTTAACTCTCAGGTCAAGTGCTGAACAGGCCTAACCTCAGTTACACCAAGCCTAAAGCACCCAAATGCTTCTGACTGGTGGAGTTTTTCTACAGCAGAAATGCTCTACTCTCACAGCTAAAAGTAGGCTCTGTGTCATGTAGCTTTTGCTTCAGCAGCAGATTCTCTGGAGTGCTGTGGTGGAAGTTGATAGGAGGAAAAGAGAAAACATACGAAGTAGCAGAGACATAAAAACATTCCACAAAACGGTGTTATCCAGATAGGCATGCTCCCAGTATTCCAAAAGATTTTTTGATTGCTAATATGTATCAGCAGCCACTACGGGGATTCCAGTCCTATAATAAAAACTGCAAGACTCTTGACTAGTGGAATTTTAAGACTATCAACAGAATCAAGGACTCAGAATTCACACTAGCAGTTTTCCTACAACAGCTGAACTGGATCAGCAACACTAAAGTGGCTGCAGCAAACTTCACCAGCTCTCCACTGTGGTGTTTTTTTTTGTTTTTGTTTTTGTTTTGTTTTGTTTTGTTTGTTTGTTTTTGTTTTTAATTTTTTGTTGATTTTTTGTTTGTTTGTTTGTTTGTTTCATGCTTTGAGGAGCAAGAAAAGGGTGAAAAATTGTAGGCTAATACTAAATACTTTGCTTTAATGCTAATTTTTTGCTTTAATGCTTGTTAATTTTTCTTTAAATTGACCACATTGACAATGGCACTTGCAAGCTTTTAGTTGCCATTGTACAAGTACACTGAGAAATCTTATGTATGTGCTCTCTCCTCATCATCTTCCACCATCTTTTCATCACCCCCAAATTAGCAAAGCCTGCTACAGACCCTGTTCCTAGATATGAAAGCCTAAACCGCAGCAAGGCTAAGGTATTGGGTAGAGAAGACCTGACAAAGTACTAACTACTGTAACATAGCTACTCTGCTGGGAGATAGCAGCTGACTTCTCCAGGTACTAGGTTCGTGTTACTTACTTTCTGACAAATCCTTCTTTTAACGACTCAATAAACAAACACTGACAGAGAAAATCAAGTCACCTTGAAGTAGCCGGCAGTGCAGCACAGGTTCACTTTCAGACCGTTTCTGCAAGGGATTGAAGACTGGCACACATGCGCCTTCTGCAGGCATCTGGCTTCCATCCGAAGGTGAAAGGCTCACTCTGCTGGAAGGCTCAGGAACTTCTTCACCTGAGTGGTTGGCAATAGTAAAGATGAAAGAAAAACAGGTATAGTAGCACAGATCTGCAGAAACTGTTATGAGAGTTCACAACTGATTTTTTTATATCCCTCTCCTGCAAATCTGTAATGACTGGAGACAAAAGCCTAGAGGTGTATGTATGTGTGCATGTACCCACTCCCACCAGTAACACTGGTCAAAAGCCTGCAGAAGCCTGTTCAGCTTTATGCCATGGGAGTAAAAAAAACCATACAGCTTTGCCTAGTATAAACCTCACCTTAAACTACCTAATCAGAGAGAAGGGAGGTACAGCTTTCTTGGGAAAGAAAACTAAGTCTCATAGAGCCTGAAATCCTCCTGCATATAAGCAGTTGCATCTATATATGAGAGCATATGGTCAGAGAGGTCAGCCACTGTTTGCAACTAGGAAGCTCATAAATCAGTCACTAGCCCTTATATGGGAACCCAAAATCTTGTTCTATGAGGTTCTTTACTAAAACAAAGGTTTTCCTGAAATCTCGAGGCATGTTTTGTCTTCACAATTAACCAACACCCCTCCTTTTTCTTCATCTGAAATTACATGCTTTGATTCACACAACTGCCTTTTAGTGAACCAGACAGGATGAAGCGATGTGCGTCTCACCAAGCCTGGTTCTGTAACTTCATCTGATGGCACCTGGCATCTTACAGAAACCAATGTAATTGCTCGTGAAAGGGCAAAAACCAAATTAATGTAATCAGTCTTTTATTCAGAACTTGGCAAATGTGCTGCTACTCTAACAAATGTGCCAATGACTGGAGCATATGAGAAAATTAAAGCTTGGATGATACACACCTGTTGAGCACAGCACCTTATCTCCTACACAAATGCAACCTAGAATCTCAAGAAGAGCAGAAACAGTGACAAAACCTATATAAAGCACATACCAGTCTGGAAAGTCAAAAGGTATTGTTGCCATGACGAAACATCCAAAACTTACAGTACAAGGAAATAAGGGTGTGTTTAAGTCTGGTAGACATAGCAATATTATATATTAACCACAGTGGTTTAGTTTGTTTTGAGAAACCGAGGAAACTCATTGTAGAAACTATCTATGCTGCTCAGAAACCCCTTACCTATCCCACCTTGATTTGAATATCAAGAATTGCAATCAACAGAAATATCCAATGATTTTTTGTAGAATAGGAATATTAATAAAGTTACATAACTAAGAGAACAAATAACTGTAAAGGTTAAATTTAATAGTGAGAATAGTATGCATTTTTATGTAAAAAGGACTAGATAGCCATGGACGGGTGGATAGATAGATAGACAGACAGACAACCAAAAAAAAAAGGATATAAAAGAGTGATCAATGTAATATAACTGAGCATGCATGGTGGAGTTATTCCCCATCCCTGCTCAGTCCCTGGGCAAGGTCAGCCCGTGCTGCAGGAGCAGGGGGAGAAGCACTAGAGTTGGACCAAGCCTCAACACTGTGCAAGCGCTGCTTATCATCAGCCAAAACATTGGTGTGTTATCAATACTGTTTTGGTCAAAAATCCAGAAGAGCACTGTTAAAGCTGCTATGAAGAAAACTAACTCCAGGGCAGCCAGAGCCAGCACTCCTCCTCAATTACAAATAAAGGAAAAGTTACCGCTCAGCATATTTCCTTTTCTTAATTAATTGCCCCTCGGAAGCCTTGGCACCTAGAAGAAGCAGTGTTAATTTTCTTTATTAAGATGCTCACTTTGTTCTTTTCTGAATTTAACAGCCAGGCTGAGATTCAAATGTCTCTCCAGTCCTTTTTATTAAACAATAAAAAAAAAAAAGAAGGACAAACCAGCGAAGAAGAGAGGGAGGAGAGTACAATTTATCAGATGCTCAGGTCTGCTTGCTGGCAGAGAATGCTCTTCAATACATACAAAACCTCAAACAATGCCTCATGATAGCTTTTTCTCTTCCCCTAAACTTTCATGACTCCCCCTTACAACAGTTGCATTTTCTGTAGTGCTCTTTTCCCAGTTTTCTTTCTCATAACTTCAGTCACCGTGCAGCCTTATGTTTGATATCCCATGCTCATTTGTGCTCAAAGCGCTCAGACAAAACAATGGCAGTTTTACCAGTAAGAAGTTATTGACAATTAAATCTTTTTCTACAGCTCTTCTGAATTTCTTTCTGGTTACCACAACTGGTAAGATATCAGAAGCATCCAAGTGTTTGTTTTCAGAGCTAGGTAGACTGCCAGAGTGTATGGGAAGTTCAAAAGACTTGCTATTTTATTTACATAAAGTATGGGTTTATGTAAACATTTTTTTTGCCTACCACCACTTAGCAAGGACAATTTCAGCTGATAAACTTCATGCAGAAGTTTTCCTATAGCTTGAGAAGTAGGTTGGCAGAAGAGAAGTAACAGTCAAATGAAGTATTTGGGGCTTCCCCTGGTCCTGCCCCAAAAGTCTTCACTCTTTATATTCTTGTGGTGTGATTGTTGTGCAGATAGGCACACAGCCATTTGTTGCACAAAGACAGTCTGCCCCTTAATGGCAAATTCAAATGAAAAATGGAACAGATTTTCACTGGGGTTGTACTGAAAAAGTTGCCTGTGACTTGATCTGAGAGCAAATAATGATTAACTGCAAGTGTATACCACAACAAAGATTAGGCTGAAAACAGCTTGGAACCATTTCCATAGTTTCCTAAATCAATGCTGAACAAAGCTTGGCGTGGCCTCTGCGTGTAGTCTAGCTGTATTCTGTACCAGTATGCAGAAACCATTTAGTAATTCTTACAGTGCAGGATGAATAATAGCGTAATTCCCACATTTAGCTCAACACAATATAGCATTATTTTAACCTATTCATATTTTCATCAGCAAGAAAATATCAACAGGCACCATTATGTATACAAAACAAAATAGAAGCACATATACATATGCATATACATATATAGACAGAGTCAACAACTAACCTGTAGGATACTAAGAAGGAAATATACCTTTCTTTTTATATCTTAGGAGCAAACAAATTTTTATGTATTTCAAACATTCATCTCTGTTCCTACTGCCCAAAAATAGGTGACTCTGTATTTCTGGCTTCCTACCAGAGTGGCTGTCTTTCAAAGAAATAATAATGTTACCACATTAAGTGATCTGGGTTAGGCAGAATAGTTCCAGAAAAAAAAATTTAAAATGTACTTCTTACCTTGAGAGGCCTGCCCAGCACTCATTTCCTCCAAACCAACATCTTCCTCAACACTTATTTGTACTGCACCTTGCTGAAATAAAACAGAAAAGCTGAAAAATCGCAAGCCACCACCTTTTTTTCTGATACTTTCTAAGAACTGCAATATCCACCTCAGAAAGTGAACCCTCTTGCTAACTGTACGGTCACTATGTCATATGTGTTTAAAACCACTGCAAAACCAAGACTAGCGAATATCTAAAATTAATGCTCGTTATGTAGGTCAGCTAATTTTATCCTGCTGCA